GAAAATCGAACGAGAACCAAGACTTTTCCCATCGATCGCGGCCGTTTCTCGCGCGGACGTAACGAAACGAGGAGGACGCGAGAGCAGCGAGTACGGAATATTTCTAGATACAGTAACCACGCGTGTGAACCTTGGTCGAAGAATAGACGGCTTGGCCGAGACGCTCCTCGCATTCGTCTGCCTTATAGATCTTAAGCGATCGTCCGAAGAGTGGACGACGCGCGGTACGACCTAGGCGTTGGCACATTTTGGCACATATACGTGCAAACGTGCGTGGAGATGTAAGAAGCGGAAGAAGGCGGGACGAGAGCGTTCGCGCGACGACGACTCGGTGTTTAGAGAGCGAAAAGCGTTTGACGGGTGAACCCGTGTACGCGTACGAAGAGGAGAGACCGAGGCATCGAAGGAAGAGTGGCGCTCTAAAAATATAGATAGCGAGATTCGCGTTAAGGATTATATAAACGGGCAAGGAAAGATGGTGGAATACGCGGAGCGACGTTCAACGGAAGCCAGACGAGAGACTAAGTTCCAAGTTTAGCCAGATGACGCGGGTCAGCAAGGAGACAGAGGTCCGTTCGAGCCTGGTATGCCCGTTTCTGCAATACTAAACATAGCGTGGAGAGGGCGATGTTCGTTTTAGGAAAAACGCGGGCCTCGGGAGTCGCTGTCGATTCTAGACCAACTCGACCGGTAAACGGAATCGCGGAAATCGATACTCGCGCGCCGCTCTCGTTAATTCCGCGGTCGAAGAAAAAAATGAAAGAAAAAGTAACAAAGACCGTTCCGGGTATATCCGAGTTATCGCCACTTTCTCAAACGTCAGAAACACTCGCCGTAAATTCAGCGGCAGTCGGTGTAGCGCGATCCTTTCGCCGCTCAAGTGTCCTAGCCAGATAGGGAAAAAAGTGGAGAGGAAAAGAAAAGGGGAGAAAGTTTAGGCAGGGAAGAAAAGAAGGCGGAAAATGTCGCGAGAGGAAAAATTCGTCGATCGCGAGAGGTTGTCGCGTGGAAAGGGAAAGTAATAACTGGACGAAATTCCTCGGCATTTTATAGGAACCGTAACGAGCGATGCTCGCGCGCACGCACGCACCTACGGCGAAATCTGTCAGCGTTTATGGCAGTATTCGATCATTAATCAAGGCGAATCCTGGCAAGAGAATCCCGCCAAGAACAGCAAGACCATTAAGTTTCATGTTCCGCCACCTTCGGCCTAGAACAATAAAACTGTCGGATTGGCGCGGTAAGCCCGTTCGCGGTTGATTGAATCATTGCACGGTGTCTGGCTGTTCGAGATGACGCCGGAAATAAACGGCGTAGAGGCAGAGTAAATCTCACGCGTGGAACGCGCGTTCGTCGCGCAACGCTCGATGATCCCCGAGAAATTAATAACGAGATCTTAGCGAGGTACCCGCTTCGTTTGGCCCACCTTGACACGGTTAAGATCGTTAAGATCGTCGACAGGGAGATAGTAATTTTCTATACGACACGCGTCTGCGATGGAAGAAGGCTTCCAAGTTGCGGCCAAAGTCGCCGAACGTTACGAATTTAGCCGACATCTGGTCCAGTCTCCGCTGTACTTTGCTCAACGAACCACCGATCGGATTCCAAATAGCTGCTACCTTTCTCTATCCCTCCGCGTAACTCCCGATTTCGTAAACTGAGAAAATCGGCGGATGAAACGGATTAATCGGCGCGCAATAGATCGTAGAAAATGAAAGTTTCGCGGTTGGGAAGGAAAAGAAAAAAGAAAGAAGAAAAGAAAAGGGTCAACTCGTTTGGAAAATCTTTGGACGAGAAGAAGGGGAGAAGGTGAACGCGACAGGAGATCGACTTGAGCGGGCGACACGTAAGAATAAGGGGTTCACGGTGAAACGGGGTGCGCGGTTACACGCAAAGGAATTTCTCGATCACGAAAGCGCGCGTTCGCGAATATAAGAACGTAATTGAAAATCGCGCTCTAGGCGAAGGAAAAGGTTCGATCTCGACCCAGTGTGACGAACGCGCGTGGAAGAAGAACCGCGTACCGTTGCATCGACGCGAACGGGCGAAATCGTCGGTTTGTCCGGTATCGTTAAGAGAAACGCGCGGCCTTTAATCGCTGTAAAATGGTGGCTTTCCGACGATACCGAGAGTTGCGTGGAATACCTCGGGCCGGGTGGTCGCGGCGATAAAGTGGCCTCGGAAGTGGCCGTGGAAGTGGCCGCGACGAGCGGCGGCAAGACGCGTTCGCGGTGGAAGTTTCGCAAAGTCGAGGGATGACGTTGCGCCAGCGAGTAGATGGTAAGATTGCGCGGAAAACACCCCGTGGCACGACGGTGCCGCAAACACCGACATACTGCGCATAGCGTGCAATATTAAACGGTCAAAATGAAATTCTAAGTAGAGAACCACTGTTTCCCTCTGACGTTCCTCAACATCGGCGATGAAATTCCTTCTCCTTCATCGCGTGGCGCGGCTCGCGTAGGTAAGACGCGACGAAACGGGCGTTTTTCGATCGTCGTTAATCGAAGCGTCGTTATCGCGCGAGGAATCCGCGTCGGTTTATCTTTGGAAGTCGGTTCGCCGGCCGGATTAGCGCGCGGTTTGGGCAGAAAATTCCGCGATAAGGTACGCCGCGCGAAAACAGTGGCAACGTGATCCGATGTTTACGTAATGGAGCAACGGTAGGAGTGCGCGAAGAGACGAGAAGCCATAGGCACGCTCGAGCAACGCGACTGCACGCTGACAAATTGCTTCAACGTTTTCGGCTAGGATACGGCTTAACTCGGTCCGGCGTAAATTTTGCTCGGTCATAACGCCGCGAGTTAAACGGTTTGTCCGCGTTTCCCGAGCTTCTTCCGCGTACAAAGTCGCGCGATCGTTTCCTCCTCGCGGCACGCGATTCACCGAATTTCCGCGCGACGAAAACGCGTCGCGTCGGTCGGCGAGTAAGAGGACCGAGGTAGCGAGACGTCGATGATCTTTACCGATTCGAGTTCAAGGTTCCTCTCGTCGCGATCCTGGCCAATGTCACCGGATATCCACGTGTCTCTGGGATATTACGCGCATATTTTCCCACGTTAACCGCTTTCTTCCTCGACGAGCGATCGGGAACAGGATGAAAGGGTTATCGTTGGTCCTTTAACGGCAAAGTAATATCGATAGGTGTCTCCTCGACTTCTCGATAGAGAGGCAAAGAAGAACGGAGAGAGAGAGAGAGAGAGACGTAACGATGCGACGAATCGTAGCGTGTCTCGAAGAAAACGTGGAACGGGGGAAAAGGGTTGAAACGGAA